CACCCACTCCCTCTCTCCATCCATCCACCTCAGTTCCACAAGCTGTTATTCAAAACAACGTTTCACCCTGGCCGGTGGTGCTCAGTGGTTACAGCAGTCGGCCCTCGCCTGCTGGTCAAGCGCCCGGGGTTCCTGGGTTGCCTGTTGACTCCCCACCTCTGGAAGCAACCGGTTGGTGTGTCTCTCTCATCCATGCTTCTCTCTCCCTCGCCTCCCTGATCCCTTCCACTCTCTAAAAACCAATGGAAAAAAATACCCTCAGGAGAAAATTAACAAAAACAGTAACAAACAAGAAACAACAACACGATTTTTCCACCAGGGGGCACACGCACCACCCTAGGGAGCACTGGATGGAGCTCCCTCCTGTACTGATCCTCTGGTCCGGCCTTGCAGCCAAGGCCTTGAGGGTCAGTTAACCCATCATCTCACGTCCGCCCAGTGGTTCCCCATGAACATTAGCCTATTTGTGAAAACCGCCTTTGGCAATTTTATCATCAGGTAATTCTTTTTTATTTAAATACATCTTTATTGATTTCAGAGAGAGGAAGGGAGAAAGAGAGAGAGAGACATCAATGATGAGAGTCATTGATCGGCTGCCTTCTGCACGCCCCTGACTGGGNATGAAAAACACCTTTGGCAATTTTATCATCAGGTAATTCTTTTTTATTTAAATACATCTTTATTGATTTCAGAGAGAGGAAGGGAGAAAGAGAGAGAGAGACATCAATGATGAGAGTCATTGATCGGCTGCCTTCTGCACGCCCCTGACTGGGGATCGAGCCCACAACCCCTGGGCATGTGCCCTGACCGGGAATCGAACTGTGATCTCCTGGTTCGTAGGTCGATGCTCAACCACTGAGCCACGCCGGCTGGGTGACAAGGTCTATAAATTAGCATGTTTTTCATTTTTTACTGGCAATCCTACTGCCAGGAATTCATTCTGTAGATCATTCCCCACAGATACACAAAGGCTTATGTGCAATTTATATTTCATATATGTGCATGTAGATATAGACATAGATGATATAGATATAGATATATAGATAGATGATAGATAGATGATATAGATATAGATATAGATATAGAAATAGATATAGATGATATAGATATATAGAATAGATA